ACCCATCACAGGTATTTACCATTCTCTTACACCTACTTCCACCCTCCATTTTAGGAATGGACAAGCTCTCAACTACAAATTACTAGCCGAAGACAAGTTACTGTATCTCCTCTTAGTGGGATTCTAATATCTCCCCTGGAAAATGAGGTAAGTATGGAAAAATGCAAGAAACAAAAGTAATTATCTGTTTTTTTAATATAATAGTTTATTTTTACATCATTTTGTGACTTTTTCCATCTCACTTGTAATCCCCGTGGGCTTCCCATCACCAAGTTACCCATGTGCCATCACCATAGTCCAGTGTATTTCCCTCCCCCACTGTTTTTGATCCCATTCCCTACTCCATCCCCACAAAATGTCTCTGGTATATAGCTGTTCATTATTATTATTATTTTCTCGCCTGGTCTGTTATACTCCTACTATGAGTGAAACCATCTGGTATTTTTCCTTTTCTTTCTGGCTTATTTCACTAAGTATGATCTTTTCTAGCTCCATCCATGTTGCTGCAAAAGGCATGTGTTTATTTTTTTTGGTTGCTGAGTAATATTCCAGTAATTATCTGTTTTTAAAGGAGCATTTCTGGAAAAGATCATCTTCAGAATTCCTAATGAGAAAGTCACTAGTGACTTTGGTAGAGTAATGTGCGTGGAGTTGGAAAGTCAACAGTCTATAAAAAGTAGCCACACCTGCTGCTATTTATTCACTTCATGGCATTCAGAGTTGGAGAGCAACAGGTGTCAGTGAGTTAGGCCATATGTGTGATGACAAAGACCAGTTTTTCTTGCTTTTGATCTTTACGACAAAGATTGGCCTACAGTCTCTCTATACAGAGCTTGATGTTTTCTGTAATCCCACCCCACAGCCATGTCTTCACTCACCCTGTATGTAGACAGGTCAATTCTCAGTGAATTGTGCAGCTGGTCCAGTAGTTTTACAAACCTCTCTTTCTGAGGGTGGAGAACAAATAATAGGTGAAAGAAAAATTTTTCTAAGCCCCCCCCAGACTGTTTTAGAAACAGAACTGTCTCTGGTTGAGGATATAGTGGGCTGGGAATCCAATCCTACTCCTGCCCATGTGAGGTAAGTAACAAACAGTGTAAAAGAGAAATGGGATGGGAGGTCCCTGTTCCATCTCTTAGCACCTCTGTCTCAAGATGGAGAATCTTCTCCCATTGACAAAAGGAAGTCCGTGGGAGAGAAAACAGCTTATCTATAGAAACAGTCCACAGGAGGTAACCAGTGTACACCCCTTCCTTTGAGAATCCTAATGCATCTTAGTTATATGGGAGGAAACTCCAAACATATTCTCTAATTGTTTCTGAGTCTACCGTCTTTTGACTTATTTGAGGTAGCTCACAGTCAAGCACTGATGATTGACAGGAGGGGAAAAACTGCATTTGGAAGGTGGCCAGGCATATATTGTGGTGGGAAAGGGGGGTAGGAAAGAGTCGGAATCCACATTATATCTCTTAGTTCATACATTTTTAATGCTATGATAAATAACAGGTATCATTTTAAAAGTTAATTTTAATAGAAAAGATATAATTAAAAGTAGAATCATGTCTTTAGGCTGTCTGTAACATTTAGAATTCAAATTAATAATTATCTTGGACGTCAAACATGCAAAGTGCCTGAAAACAGACTCTGGTGTACACCAGTATCCTCACTTAGGCAGCAGTCTGATACAAACTTAAGTGGTATGAATCTGTCAGAGAGAGACTGAATAAATAACAGGAAAAGGTCTACCTTCAAGAATGAGGAACATGGTAATTCAATCAGGTTGCTGGCTTAGAGAGGTTCTGCCTAAGTTCAGCTAGCACAACTCTCCCTCACCCCCAAACCATAGTGTGTGGTGTTCTGCTACCTTCTCTCATTTATCTATGTCTGAGGATGGTCTATTGGGACAGACTATAAATCCATAAGGTAGTAAGGAGAGTCTATTAGCAGAATTAATTAATATATATTCACAAGGAAACATGATTCACCTATCAAGTTGGCAGCTACTAGAATTTAGGTATATCAATAAACTCTATAGTACTGACTATAAAAACTCAAACTTTATTAACTGGTAACAAATGGGTACATATGTTTTCAGATCACACTCACCCCAAAGTTGGAGGCTGCAAAGCGATCAGATGCAGAGACATTCGTGGAGGCTGTTGTGTGGGCATAATAGGCATTGATGTTGGCCAGTAAGGTGCTCATGACTGCTGGTACACCAGGACACATGTACTTGGATGACAAACAAGCAAAGTGCCTGAAAAACAGCACATTCACTTTCACAACTCTTCAGAACTTGCTCCAAAAGCCAAGTAACCAAAAGATCTCCCTGCTGTGTGTGAAATTTTCAATCACCTTGGCAAACAAAGACCTTCATAATTTATTCACTCAAATGTATAGTCAGTGAACACCTGTCATGTGCCAGGACCCTTGCTAAGCAGAAATGTGAAAGCCTAGCAGAAAAAGCAAATGCCAATAAAAAGCAAAGTCAATAATCCAAAGGTATTCTATGCAAAAACACTGGAACTCTACAGGAAGATCATCTAAATCAGAATGTCTGAGGACTAGATGGGAGTAGAAAAAGAATTCCCAAAGAGCTGTTTAACCAAGTTTTAGAGTAGTAGCAAGAATTAATCAGATGAAATATGCAGGTGAAAGGAAACTGCATTGCAATGACAAATATATTCATGAGAGAGTAACTCATTTGGGAAACCTTTGTTATTGTTACTGTTCAGATGACCATAGAGAACTAACAAGAAATGAGAAGGAAAAAGTAAGAAGAGAATAAACAACAAGCATTTATCCTAAATGCTCCAGTAAAATTTTAAATAAAGAAGCAATGTGATCAAATTCATTTTTCAGAAAGGCCATTTTGACAATGAGTTGAAAAAGAAGACTTAGAGGGATAAAACTAAGTCAGGGGCCCTCCCTGGTGGCGCAGCGGGTTAAAGCACTGCACTAAGAAACTAAAGAGCCGCTTCCGCATGAGTTCGATTCCTGCCTGCCCCGGAGGTGACCACATGGCGTGGCAGACCTCTCCTGACCCGCCCGCTGCTCCCCTCAGCAGTGTGCTTAGTCGATCTGCCTGTTCTGCTTCCCGCTCTGTCTCTGGTGAATCCTCTCACCCTCCGCATCTCTGGCCTGTACCCCAGTTCTGTACGAATAAATAAATAAATCTTTAAAAAAAAAAAAAAAAAACTAAGTCAGAAAGACCAACTGAAGAATTAATGCGATCACCAGAAAATAAGTAATGAAGCACTAAATTGGACAGGGAAATATCAATAGTTAAGAGCACAGACTCTAAGGCCAGACTGTAGATTTGAATCTCAGTTCAATCCTTCACTCAGTACATAAATTATTTGCATTTATTACCTATATAACTGATTACATAATATGTAAATTATAATGTATTACATAAATTAACCTCGACTTATCTATGCCTCCACTTTCTTATGTGCAAAACAGGAAAAACAATGATGTCTGCCTCACCAGGTTTATAGGAGGATTAATGAGTTAACATTCCTGAAGTGCTTAGGACAGTGCCTGGCACATAAGGAAATCCTATATAGGAGCTGTGGTTGTTATTATTGAGCTATAGCAGATATGATAAATTGAAAATGTATCTTGAAGACAGAATCTAGAGGTTTTAGATTGACGGGATATTGGGAATTAAAAATCAGTAATAAAAAAGAAAAGTTTAGGTTGACTTAGAAGTAGAAAATCTTTCCATTTACTAAAGTAGGGAATAGAAAACAAGAAGATTTGATGGCGATTATACTGATGAGATTTTTGCCATGCTGAGTTTGCAATGTGTGTGGGAATACCCAGGGAGCAGACTAAAGTAGATCTCAAACTCAGAAAAAGGTGTGATCTGTAGAGATATCGTGGCCCAGAAGTAGTGGTCAAGGTCTCAAACTTGGATGAAATCATTCCAGGGGAGTGAACAGAGTTAAGAATGCAGACCAGCCATCTCAAATCTCATTCCTTACCACGTTTTTGTCCTCCATCTACATTGAACTTCTTGCAATTCCTTGACTCTATGGTCTATTTCACCTTCACAATGCTCACATACCTATCAGAGATACTCTCCCTCCTTTTCTCTATTTCAAGACTCAATTCAGGTGTCCATTCGCTCTCATACCTTCCCTAAAATTTAGAAGATCTCATAATAGTCTGTGATTCCAATTACCATAGTACTTACCACATTCTATTGAAACTGTCAGTTTTTCAGTTTGCTGACATGTCTACCTGCTAGACTCAGTTCTCCAATAACAGAGACTTCCATCTTACCCAGCAAGTAGCACTATATATGACACAAAGTCTCAATTAAAAGTTTATAGAATAAATAAAGTATAGCCAGGGCAATAGCTACCCTCTGCATTCCTAGGGCTGCTTCCTGTACACAGGTTAATAGCAGCCTCATCAACAAATAAGCTACACCTCTTCTTATTGCAGGCAGGAATATTTGATATGATAGTCTCGGTCAGCTCCAGACACAGTTGCTTTCCTTGTTTAGTGTCTACTCTGACTCTCAAAAAAATCTATGCAAGCTTTCCTGTCACACACACAAATACATGTGCATGCATGCCCTGCCTGCCCAGACCTGTATGTGTGGGCACACTGGTCTCTGCATACTGTCCTATCGTACTCTGCATACTTTTCCTCTCCCATTTCTCAAGGCCGAACTGATAAACACACTCCCTTCATATACATCCCTTATTTGCCTTGGGTATAGACCAACCCACCTCACACAGCTCAGAGAAGAAAGCAATGAATCACTGCACACTACTCCAACTAAGAACCCGTCCACCCTGTCAGTATGCCTTCATTAACCTCTCCCAAAAGCCCAAAGGAGCCTCACGTCATGGCCTGATATATGGATTCGATGCCATAGCGCATAGCAAATTCATCCACAATTTCTTGGGCCGTCTCATCAAAGTACACCTTCCATGCATCATCTCCTCGAGCCTCAGGGATCCGGACTCCTCCACTGCCCTGAATGTCTGTGAGGTAATGGAAAAGGTTCTGCCAGAGAGGACAAAGGAAAGAATTAAATATATATCAAAACCAAATCCAAAACATGACAGTAGTCTGGGAGGATGTGATTAGGGTCCCATAGCAAGTCTGCCCTGGAAGTCATTGCTCAGTTCCTCCCGGTACCCTCATGGGCTGTGCTCACATTAGTGAGAGCACTGAGGCTGGGATAGGCACTTGGGCTGTCCAGTACAAAACAGAAGCCACGGACAAAATAGAAAAACAGGTCCCAGCTTTTCAACCATTTAGTAGCCTATCTCATTACAAAGGGCCCTTCCTTCTAGCAAACGCTGGCTCACCTCATGGAGACACGTATACTGCACATGATAGGGGGCTACTTTCTCTTCCCCCTTGATTTCCACACTGATTTGTAGTCGTATGGCCCCTGAGACCGCTGATTTGTCTGTTCTCTTTTCTAAGAAAGAAAGAAGTCTGGAGATTGACATCAATGCAAAAACAGACAGTTTACACAGTCCTCATCTGGCTTAACCTGAGTAGAAGGAAATGCTGATCCAAGAGTGAATTCACTCCAGTAGCCATGTACTCCATAAATACCCCAGAACTTGTTAGGGAGATCAATAGGATCATCTGAGGGAATACCCCTAAATACATTAGAAATGACTTTGAAAGTTAATTAGAGCCTTCAGAAACCTGGAGAGGGTCCAGTGAAAGTGAATTTTAGTCACCTCCACTTATTTATCCCCCACCTCTACCTATAATAGGTTCTCTGCAGGTAAAGAAGGCTCTGTGTAGAAGTATGTTTTGGGACTGAATAGCAGTTTTAGGAGATAGGCTTTTCTCCAGATTCCTCATTTCATGTCTTTTCCCAGCAACTTTCCCTGGTCTGGTTTCCTTACCCAGATTGTACCAGACGTCCATCTCGCCACTTAGTGTCCGAACCTCGATGATGGTTTGGCCAAGGAAATCATCAGACTCTCGTTTTAGCCGTTGCTTTACTCTTGATTTGATGTCATCATCCTCATCCCATACACGTACCTTAATGCGGTCAGAAGAGTTGTGGCATTCACTATGATAGAATTAGACAGGTTCTATTAAGGAATAGGCCCAAAAGCCCTCATTCCTGTCACTTTCAATTCCCTTCCCAAAGCTCCATCAACAGTACTTGAAGCCCTGCAGAGGAAGAGGAGGAGTCAGAGAACAGTGGTGCAAAGTTCCAACTAAGTCAAACTACCCCAGTGTTTGGCTCTCCATTCCTCAGCTTGGGTGGTTCCAGTAGCAATCTATTCTTTTCTTCCCCGGAAGGAGAAGGGTAATTAGGGACAATTCTGATTTTTTATGCAACAACCAACATATCAGTAGCACCAACAGGAAAACTGGACAGGTGCCACAGAGGCATAGTAAACAATTTCTAAGTCTCCTCTTCAGAGTCTTTTATGAAGTCAGTAAAGGCATTAATGTTTATGGCATGCCCATCAAGTGCTATCTGCTTAGCTTTCTACCTAACTTCCCATCTACTTAAGAGTGTGCTTAGTAAACTTCTATCACTCTAAAAACCCACAGGTCATTTCTTCTAGGTGTTTGCGTTGGAGAAAGGAGCTTGCCTATGTTCCCACAGCACGAAGGCATGTTCTCCTTACCCAGAAGTTGTTTCTGGGGTTCTAGTGCCACACCTAAAGCTAAAGTTGCACTCAGCAAGATGTGCAGCTCTTTCCTTGTGTTCTCAAAAGTATCTCTGCATGTTCCATTAAAATAATTTAGTATAATTACTGGTATACTGAAAAATAATAGACAAATGTACAGTAACCTTCTTAAAGTTGGGGATTATCTTATTTATACATTTTAAGATATACAATATCATGTATTATGTCTTGTCTAGACACAATATAAAAGCTTAATAAATTGTTTACGTAATGAGTGGAAATGGGAAAAACTTACACAGGGCCAATAATTTAGAACTAATTATAAGAAGTCTTCAGAGAGGGAGAAAAAAAAAAAAGAGCAAAGCAGGCCCAATGAATTACAGTGTGGAACTATGGGTATATTGGTGGTGGGCATGGTTTAGAAAATTTATGTCTGAAGGAGTGTGATCCTATACCTCTGAATCATATATAGTGTTGTAAAACTGATGTTACCTCACTTAAATAAAATAAAGTTAAAAAAAAAAAACCACCTGTATGAATAAAAGGGGAAAGAAAGGATTTAAGAGCGAGCCATCCAAATTCTCAGACAGTTATTCTCCCCAGCACCTCTTGCCTCTGGTTGGAGATTATTCATAACTATGCTCCAATCTCTTTCCATATGAGTTGTGCAAGGAGCCAACAGAAGGTCTCGAGATAGCCAGCTCTTATCTAGCCCTAGATCTTAAGTTTGATAAAGTATCTGAATTCTCTAGGCTCTAAGTTCTGAGAAAATGGAAACAACTTCAGACCCAGATTTCTATACTCAAGCCAGAATTACCCAGTTGTAGAAAAGAGATATTCTTTCCCCACTCCCTAGAAAAACCTAACCTTTTCTAGGCATGATGTTAGGGCTGGGAGGTATACAACAGAAAAGTCCGGTCCTGGTTCTTCATTAAGCAGCAGTAAAATCTTCTCAACGATTAAAAATAAAAAGGTCATTCATGGTTTATGTAAAGTAATCCTCATACAAAGTCCATGGAAGAAATGGCTATTGCTTAGTTAAGGCATTTGTGAAGTAAGTTTTTTTCACTGCCTTTGCCCCTTCCCTTTTAGGGTCCTAGCATATAATAAAAAGACTTATTGCTGCTCCTAAAATAAACAAACTCCCAAGACAAAGCTCTCTGTGACTTACAAATGGAACTTCTCCTCCCAAATAGGATTCAGGTTCCCAAAGATGGTCTTGGTACGCTTCTTGGTTTTACCCACTTGCACAGTCACATAAGGATCACTGGATCCTGTCTTGTCCTTAGCTTGTAGGCCTTGGGCACACATCACTGCAAGCCAAACGTACACAGAAGGTAACTTCAGATTATGTTCCAGAAGTCAGAGTCTTCCATACTGCATTGTTTTCCATCTTAGAGCAGCCTCTATCTTTTTTTTTGTACAAGAACCTTACTCTTTTCATGCCTCCACATCTATCTTTAGTCCTAAGCTATCAGCCTTTCCCAGAACCTACTTCAAGAATTCCACCTCCCCACTGAAACTGGAACAGACCATTTACTTCTACATTGGTCCTTACTCCCTCTGATATATGTACATTTCTACCACATCCACCAGCTAGAAAGCCACTGGTTAACTATTCCTTGACCTCCTGTCTCCCTTTCCCCCCACCCCTTGCTCCTGTAATATGAGAATGTTAACCATCTTTATATTATCAGATTGTTACCAAATCCTGTATCAGCATACTATTGTTTGCTGGTACCAGTCTTGCTCTCCTAATACCCTCCTGCATCTGGGTCTAGGAGAGGGGGACCGATGAAAAAAGAGGACCTCTTTTTTCTCCTTAGTTATATCTTCCTTCTCCCCAGCCCCCTGCTCCCTTGTGCTCAGGTGGTTTCTTTCCTCTAGCCTAAGCCTTCCTGCCCTCTTCAACTATGGCCTGCTTACCAGTGATGGTAATCTTGGCAGACCATTTAGAGGTGCCATCCAGCACACTCTGTTTCACTGTTTTCATCTGTTGTACATGGGCAACTTTGGTCACAGTGAAGACATCTCGAATAACTTCAAAGATCTCTGGCTTATTCCGCTCTCGGATCTTCATGCGGTCCTTCAGGGCCATGATTATGTTCTGGGTCCGATCCTCAGCTCCATGTTTAGAGCTCTTTTCTGCGGCCCCTGAAGGAGGTCAAAGACAAAAAGCAGGGCTGTCCAATGGGCCACCTATCAAGACCAAAGGTCAGGCTGAAGAATGGGGTCAGGGAGGGGTGACTGAACTGTGAGAGAAGCTTAAGATTGTGGTATCTCTGGGAAAAGTTAATCACTGCAAGGCCTCCTGGAGTTTAATGTTTAGCTAGCAGAGTTAAAAATACAACTCAGATGGTAGCCAAAACTTGGTTAAAAATAAGGGGTGGGCGATGCTTAGTGAAATAAGCCAGGAAAAAAAAAATACCGGATGGTTTCACTCACAGCAGGATTATAAAGGACCAGGCAAGAAAATAATAATAATAATGAGCCACTATATACAAGAGACATTTTACAGGAGTGGATGGGATCAAAAATGGTGGGGGGAGGAAAGTACACTGGACTATGGTGATGGCACACTATAACAAATGTAATAGAATGAAAATGAAAACAATGAACAACTATAAACCAGAGACATTTTATGGAGATGGGAGGGGGAATGGGATTGGAACTGAGATGGGAAGAGTGCACTGAACTGTGGTAATGGCACACGGGTGAATTGTGATCCCGTGGGGATTACAACTGAGATGGAAAAATGCACAAAATGAAGAATAATGTAATAATAATAATAATAATAAAGGAAAGGAAAAAAAGACCTCTTATTTGAAAGGGCACTGGTCCTCAACTCAGTGCCCTACTTTCTCCGAAAAGCAAAGAACCTCAATCAGATAGACTAGAGGGACAATCCAATCATCCTAGCTCTCTGTTGTCAGACTAATTTGGAGAGGCCTGATGTTCCTGCTTCCCACCCCGTCCCAAAGGACCACTTACGCTGCAAGCAGTCGGCATTGAGCAGGTCCTGGCACTTCTCATGGCACTTGACTCCACATTCACTGCAGCGCATGCCCTGCCGGGCAATGCCCCAGAGCAGGCCTTCACACTCATAGCAGTAGGTTGGGGTCGTGGCGGTCCAAACCTCAAAGTTGTGGGGTGTGGTGCACGAGATCGGGTAGATTAAGGCCTGCAGGGTTTTCTTATACACATGGGATTTCTGAAAGACACATAACCCATCGCCCCACCATCATCTAACAGTGACCTTAGGGTTCTAACAGAACCAGGACCCTGGCTTTTCTTCTGAAAGTGTAAGAGATGCTCTAGCCTAGCCCAGCCCAACCTCTAGCCTGGTGGGAGGTTCCCAGTGTATCGTGTTCCCGGTCATCCATGATGGCTGACCTGAATGCTTTATCTGAGTTTTGTCCCAGCATTTACACTTTCTCATAGTACTGAAGTCCACCATAAAATGCTGAATGCAGTAGTCACTTACTCCAGCATGAAACTTAGACTTAACCCTGGTCTGGACGCTTGCCTTTCCCAATTTGGAAAACTGACACTAGATGTTCACTGTTTTGTTAATGATGCCCAACATTCTTTAATTCCAATTTAAATGACTATAGAGATGACTGTCATGCCTTAGGTCAGTGGATTCATGAAACCCCATGGGTCACTTACCAAATCTTCATCCTTGAGAGAGGTACGTGTAGCCATTGCAGAAGTAATTCCTGCTTTCCGGGACTGGACCAGTGACTGTGAGAGAAGACCTGATGTCAGCCCTGGCTACCACCACAGGCTGGCAAAGTCGTGGGGAGGGAGTTTTTGTGACCAAAGCTTCTTGATTTTAGCTTACTACCTTCTCTCTATTTTTACTTTTCACTGACAAGGATTACCCACGAGTAGTTCCAGGTTAAGTGTCCCAAGTTAAGATCCAAACCCAAGCCCTCATGGAGACTGCTCTGACAATGTTAGAATTACACTTATCTCAGGGTACCTACAATACAAAGAGATTCTCTTTAATACAATTTTTAGGCATTCTGCCCACAGAAATTCCTTATTTATAGGAAGGGAAAGGAAAATAAAAAGTTTAGAATTACAGTAGGAAATAGGTCATTAAAGGCATAGACACACAACCTTATGAAGTCATATTCAAGAACCATCTCTACAAACATTAAGTCCATGCCATCTTCTAACCCCTTATATCATCCCATGTCCGCACAGGTGGCTACAGATATCAGTAGTCCAAATGAGCAGGGAATTTGGCAAATGAAAGGATCAACAGTCATAGTAAAATCAAGCAGGGCAGGCGTTAAAAAACGGAAAGCTGGGATGTCCCTGCAAGCCAGACTCAGATAAAGGGCCCCTGAATATTTCACTTAAAACTCAAGTTTTAGAAGCAACCCCTGGAGAGGCTTATGGTTCTTCTAAGGCAGTGGACAGACAGAATAATAATATCAGCCTAAGCAGGAGGAACAGCTAGGAGGCACCCAGATGGCTTGGGATGTAGACTCTGAAAGGACGGAAGGGGGAGCTCTGGAGACACTCACCATAGCCTGCACAGAGGAAAGCATAGAAAGGAACAACATAATGTTAAAGCCCCTACAGGGGCATGAAAATGCTCAGAGACAATTAAGAGGTTCTTCCCCAGAGTCAAAAGTAGGGAACACACCCCAGCCCTCCCACCCCCAGGTTTCTTCCCACTGAATGTTCTCTTTAACCCATGCAGCCAGCTAAGGCTCAAGGTCTAGGTCTCCTACTCTAAGGAGTTATGCCATAAAATTAAATATAGGCAAGGTTTAAAAACTTTGGAAGGCAAATAATAAGGTAATAATAAGTTAAAATATCATCCAATTAGTTAAGCAAAGAAAAGCTGGTGAACAAGGAGGGGGCAGAAGATGAGAAAAAGTAGGAAAAAAATGAAGAAGAGAAAAGAGTAAATGGAAGATGGTGAAACAAAGTACTAAAGGAAAACAGATGACATCCAACCAACTCAATAAGGGTTGGAAAAGGTGCATTAGAAAGGGGAGAAAGAAAGAAGAGGAGATAAACAGAAAGTAGGAAAAGAAGAAATGACAAAGAGAAAAATGGCAAAGGATACTTTCTTTAACCAACTAAGGAGGGAAACTGGTGGGGGGGGGAATGGGGGGTGGGAAGAGAGCAGAAAATGGAGGAGAAATGGGAAAAGGGAAGAATAGAGGGGAAAAGTTAGACCAAATAGGAAGAAAAACAGAAGAAAACAGGAGTAGAGAATGGTAATAAGGGTTTAATTCTTACATGTAGTTTTAGAGCTCTGGGAGAGCCTGGACCCCACTCCAGAGCCCCCAACCCCAAACCCACAAGACTATGGGAAATTCCTTGATCTGATCCCCAGATACCTCAAATGAGAACTTTGAGTCATCAGGAGGTCCCGAGAACAGCTTTAACACCTAAGCCTGTTTCAATTTAATTCTACAACTTTAATTTAATTCTACAACTTTTAATCATTACCTTTCAGTATCAACACTGAGTTAAGGTTAGGGGTACAGAGATAGTCCTATGTCTTGGGAGACTTTGATTTGACCTCCAAGAGGGAGCCATGCTTAACACACAATAAACTAAGTCAAAGCTAGAGAAAATTTTTATTCCATGTCATCAAAAAAGATGGTGGATATTCCCCGAGGAGCTTGAAACAAAAAATAAAATTACCCTGGAGGCCAGTTGTTAGGGTCCATGCCACATATGTTTCAGGTAAGAGCCTGAACTAATGAAAAACCTTGGGTTATGATGAGTAAGTAAGGTAAAACAGGCCCCAACTGAAGCTATCAATAATTCTCAGTGAGGCTTTAAATTATCAGACTGATATGTGTCACTAAATAGATCATTGCCGGTCCTGATAGTTTAGCTAAAGCTCAGTGTGGGATACCAAGGCTACAGCCTCTACCTGCATAAGAATCTCAACTCACCAAATCACTGACAAGTGGCAGTGGCTTCTTTCTGCGTAGATCTGGCATGCTGTCAATGCCATAGAGCCCTCCAGCAGGCCTGAGGAGAGAAGAAAATATATCAAGACCTTCAGTCTTGCCTTGAGTTGTTGGCAGTTCACTGGTCCATTCTGTTCTATTCTCCATTTATGTCACTTTCCCTCTCCCCAGAGGAATATTACCTGTCCTCTATCAGGTCCTTTGCAATAGATAAAGAAGGCACAAAAAAAAGGTAATGGGATGATGTACATAGAGTCTGCCTTCAGAATCTTCTATGGTTTTTAGTCAAGGCCTAGGAGCTCTTTTATCTTTATAGTGACAGCTGAAGGCAAATCAGCTTATCTGAAGAACCTTGTGCTTCACAAGGCAAGGTGGGCTTGGTAGGAGTATGGGGGATCCTCCCCATACTCAGGCCAAAGGCACTGATCCCCGAAGATAAGTATTTACAATCATTAGGAAACAAGGCAAAAGGATTGCTCTAGAAGTAATTGGTGCCACAATTTTGGAACTAATTCTAAAGACTATAATATGTACCACCTAAGCCAAGAAGTTTCTGTGCCATAAGTAAACTTTTGACAAAAGAATAAAGGGTAGCTAATTTATGTGATTAAAAAGACAAATTACAAGGAATAGACAATATAAAAATGTAGCAGTTAACTTTATGATCTGATCTTTTGTCTTTCCTAGCCACAAGGGAGAAAAGGCAGTCACTGAGAGTTCTAAAGTTGAAAGTCTTTTGGAGAACAAGGAAAGGAGGAAGATTCTCAGAAATAACTGGTAGTATATGTGGGGGGGGGGAAGGGGAATGAGGAGGAAGTACAAACTCTTTTAAGAGCAGTCACTCAGTCACAGGCAGCAGATGAGCAGCAGAAAATGACTCTCTGGCGCAATCACATGGGACTAAAACTCCCAGACAAGAAGCATAGACACAACACAGAGTTCATAAGGGATGTTACTTATGTCTTGACTCGAGTGGAATGGAATAAGTAGGTGACTCACAAAAGCTAAAGCAGGATGGAGTCCAGGGAGTAACTGCATGAGCCACACCATCAACAATGGAATGGAAAGAAACTGTCCCCAAATGCAGATACTTTTCCAGTTTCCTCATTCTCCCACCTAAAGGGTACATTATCATTGTGCTGGTCCAGAAACAAGAATAGAGGAATCGCAAAGCACTCAGCCGGCTCCAGCGGAACTGCTTACAAAACTCTCCCATATGCCTCTGAAAAGTTAGTCTGTACAGTTCCCTCCTCTGCCCCAGAGAACCAAACAAACCACAGTGAAACATCTTTCCCCAGGATCCATCTACAAAGCTGTCTTCCTGATGTCAGGGGAAAAGATAAAAGTTGCAAGAGAGATTATACAAAATCCATAGAAATCTTGCAGGGAATCACTTACCCTTCTGGGAGCCACTGAGACAGAGTAGGATCACCATCATCTGGAAGCTTCAAAAAGAGATAGAAAAAGTTAGACCCTGGGAAAGAGGGGTATTGCCTATAAACCAGATGGTGAGCAATAAAGGAGAAGCTCAGAGCAGTATAGGAACATTTCCCACATGGTGACATAGCCAACTTGATGTCTTAGTCAATGCTCTGACCAGCCAGAGCAACAATAGGATGCAGAAATAAGAAACACTTCATCTCTTCTTCCCCACAGAATAGGAATGATATAAGGGTTCATTGAGAATCCAGGAGTTAGGAGGCCTCCTTGGAGTATGAGAACTGCCATGACTTATATCCCCCCTCACAAGACCCATTACACTTAACAGTAAGCCAAAGCCAGGAGGAGGAACCACTTATCTCATCCTGTGACTTGACTTTGCTTGAGTTACTGCAACCCCTGACTCACTGGTACTATATAACTATATAAAACAAGAGAACCAATGGCTGATAAACACTTGGATTATCATTCTGGTGTATGTCATGAATTCTGTAATACAAAGTTGAAAAGTGAGGCACCAAATAAGTTGAGGAGGGAATAATTTGAAAAACCTTTTAAAGATTTATTTTTCATTAATATACACAAAAAATGACGAAAGTGAATCCTTAATCAGTGTGCAGAGAGTTCCAAAGTTACCAGGGCTCTCCAGAAAACCCATGGTATCAAACTCAAGAGACTTTGTGCTGGTAGATTGGGGTCTTCCTGCCCCAATTTGTTCCCCACCACCTACAATAACTTCCCTGCTTCCTGAGATCTGGGTTACAGCTAACTATCCCAAAGCAAATGAACTCCAGAACTAAGGAGACGTAAGTTGTTTAACTTTGGACAAAGGGAGGAGTTTGGGGAGAGCTAAAGGTGGGAGAAGTTATAGGCAGAATGAGGCAAGACAACAGAAAAGGGAGAAGTAGGACAAGCCAATAGTGGTTTAAAAAAAAAAAAGTAAGACTTATCCTGGGTCAGCAGTAGGCTCAAGATGAACTTTGGATTTATGGCCCTTCTCAGTAAGACTTCAGATGTCTGTTTTTCTCAAAGCTATCTGCCTACTGCCCACAGCTCTTCATGATCCCATTTCACTTCATCTGCCTCCTGCCCTGGTTCTCTGGGTGGGATGATACTGGTAAAAAGAGAGCCAGGCCCAAAAGGCAGTCAGAGGTGGTAGAATGAAATCTAAGGTTGCTTGTGATAAGTAGCCCATCCCTATATTCCTAGATCCCACTAATTTGGACTCATCTTCCTCTTGGGAACAGTCATTATACTGAGCAAATTTTAATTTCCTACCCAGAATGAGATACTTGTCAGCAACCACTGGGTTTAAAGAAACAAATCATAAAACATCTTTGGGAGCCAGGCTCCCCAAATCATACATATTTTCAGCCTAGGCTCCCCAAATCATACATATTTTCTGTTCTTTGAGAGGACAATGGGTCTGCAGAAACCTGCAGACACAAAGCATGCACACAGAGGTCACTGAAAGAAGGCCAGAGGAGTGAGACTCTGAGGGCTAGACAATGTACCTACAAGAAGTAGATACATTCATACACAGCACATACAACTTGTGCCTGAGAGAAACACAAGGTGAGAATGGATCCTGCACATAGATCTACAGATCATGTGTATACACCCATTTGGGAAGGATTCAGTTTTCACTAGAACCTGAATCAAAGGCAAAGAAAAGCTGCAGTGTCTTCAAGAACTAGTGCTTGCAGGCACAGAGCACTGGTAGACTATGCATTCACATGGCACGGGGAACCACGTCACAGGCTATAGAAGCCTGTGCTCATAGAAAAGCCAGTAAGCCTGCTTAGGAGCACAAAGTACATTCACACTTAGGGCCCCAGGCAAGAGGCACAAAATGCCTACAGCAATTCCTGCTCTCCAATACAAAGTGTGCAAGCATGCTGGACTCAGCGAGGGTTTACAGCATATGCCGATCTGCAGCAACAAGTAGAAAATGGACACATACTCTACAAAGTAGAAGAGGAAAGCAACCAGTGTCCAGGGGAGTCAAACTGAGTACAAATATAAGCAGACATGCTACATTAAATGTGCACCATGCCGGCACACATATTCTCATATTGAGCTCCTGGGATTTCTGCAGGAGCACATACAAGCATGGAGCATGCATACGAACTGCTTTAAAAAAACACAAAAAAACAGACTATCTATATGAGCCAAAGCTCAGAGGCACAGATCATGCACACACATACTCACACGCACACGTGCGTGCCAACACACACACACACGCGTGCTGAAGAGGAGGGGTAGAGAAAAGACAACAAAAAGGGCCCAAAAGGCCAGAAGCACAACCTGAAGGGTTCCTCGCTTTCCTTCTGCAAGGAGAGAAAGAGCAGGGGGGAAAAAAAGGGCAGAGAGATTAGTAGATTGAGTCCTAGTGCAGGCAACCCAAAGAAAATGCAACTAAACTTTTAAGGGACAAGGAAGAGAGGGAGAGGTCCTCTGAACAACAGGCAGTTTACAGAGTCCAACCCCCACAAACCCTATCTCCTGAATTTGCTGGCCTGTGTTTTTTAGTCCGGAACACCCTAGAAACTACTCAAACTAAAAGACAAAAGTCTACCTGGGTTTTCCAGTTGTCCTTTTACCCTTTGCAAAGTGGCCTGCTTGCAGAGTGAGGATCACAGGACCAGCTTGTTACTAAGGGCCACTCCAACAGGCTAGACAAACTGCCTGAGCACAGTTTTCCTTTTTCAGAAACTGCAAGGGATTACTGTGGATCTAGGACAACTCCTCAAACTCCAAATACTAGTGGGTGGGTCTTCTCCATTTTCTAATGCAGGCTTGGCCATGATGTTTGCCCAGTAAGTCCTGGTCGGTTTTCCCAGAGTCTAAATTATATTAATTGGGTTAAGGCTTGAAGAGCCAGGAAACTCATTGGCTATAGATTGTGGGACATCAATAGGCCTGCCCTAACTGAAGTCATTATGATCTAGACAATGAAACAACTGCATTCCCAGGTCTGATTATCTATCAAATTCAGAACAATACTCAAAAGGAAACATACTTCAAAGCAAGCCACAGTAGAGAAAGAATAAAGCACAGATCTACCTTTCCTGTTCTTTACACTACCTTCTACACCACACACAGACAGGTGCACAGCTTTCCTACCATCTATTTGGACTCAGTAGCTCCCCTCCACTTTCTTTTCCCTTCCTTTCAAACACCCAATGATTTATTAGACAAGTAGAAGAAAGAATCAGAGAAACTAATTCATAAATTCCCACTTTTTCACGCCATTTCTAATGACCTAATGGGTCACCTAACGAATGAAAAGTGAACTAAGAAAAAAGAACCCTCCCCCCAAAAAGCAGCTATAGAAAAGTGGATGAGATGAAAAACATACTTCTTGGAAAGGAATGACATTTCTCTTTTACATCTACACTCCACTTTCCCCAGAGCACTCTGTTACTTAGAAAATTAGACAAGGGACACCGTAACAGATCTTGTGATTGAAATTGAAAATGTTTTTCTCCCTCTCTACTATAACAAATATACATCATGTCAAAGTTACTTTGTTCTTGTCCTTCTAGTCTTCCCAGAAGTCTCCATAATAGCTAAAGAATAAAATCCAGTTTGTGACAAATCCATTAAGGCTCTCCATGATATGGCCTCTTGAAACTACTGTGTAGGCTCAGTCTTATTCTCAAGACTTAGCTCAAACATTAAAGTCTTTGTAAAAATTTATCTGCCTTCCTCTCAAAAGCAGAAGAATCAGGTGACTCCCTACCATGTGCTCATGGCACCCACATTTCTATGTTGTTATGTTGCCTCTGCTGTTTCACTGTAATTGTACACTGTGAATTTCTTGAGATTATATGTTTTTTTACCTGCGCAGCTGCGAGTTGAAGCACATTTCCTAACATCTGTATGTAGTAGAAGGAATCTGCAATTTTCAAGACTTAGGAAACAATTATTTTTCTAAGAAAATGTTTCTCCTCCATCACTAGGGAATATATAAGTCTCTTAATCAGTAGCACCAATCTCCAGATCTCATGGAACCACTGTACTCATTCTTCAATTTGTTCCGCCCACTGGGCAATATAAAAACACCTTTACTAGTAAAGAATCACTTTTTGTGCATCCAAGTTTCCTAAAACACCTAAGAATATTCCCACTCAGATTCAGCTTTTCAGTTTAACTATCTATAGAACATATGCTTTGCAGGAAAATCCCTAACCCTTAAGAATGAGCTCATTTCTTCAGTTTATCATATGGAGAAGTGACATAAGGACTTTCTTAAGTCCTCATTGTTAAAACAATCTTAACTCTTAGGAGTTAAGATTATTACTAGGAATAAAAAGTCTTAAGGTACTTAACTTATTTAAGCCTGCATTCCCTTATCTGTAATAAGCAGGTTATCATAAAAATTAATTTTCAACAAATACTGAGAATCTACTACATACTTGGCACTGCTGATGATGTAGCAGTGTGAAATAAACTCCCTGACCTTGATAAATTTCTATTCCAGTAGAAGGAGCAGACATTTTATAATGATGATAATTACACCAGTAATTAATGCTAAGTGAACACATTATATATCTAGCATGTTATTTGAATAAGCTCATTTATTTTTCACAACTCTAGTTCAATAAAATTATTTTCTCTACTTTTTTGTTGATTAACCTGAAAATCAGAGCGGCTGAGAAATCTGCCTAAAATCACAGCAAATGGCAAAGCCAAAATTCAAAATAAGCATTCTCGTTTCAGAATCTGTAATTATAAATAATATATATATGTGTGATGAGGACTCTGATAAAAAATTCAGGTAAAAGAACATGATGTCTGTGATGGTGTTACAATTCCTATTAAAATTTAAGAAGGGCTGTCAGGGAGGCCTCACTAATAAAGTGACCTAAAGGAAATGAATAAACTATTCAGAATTCTAAGGGAAAAAAATCAGAACATACAACAAGTACGAAGCTTGATATGAGATCATGATTAATGCAGAGGAAAGCAAGTTTGTGACAGAGTACCACTTCAAGTTAGG